GGTGAGCCCAAAAAAGGTAATACATGTATTCTGTCACAAATTTACCGATGTGGAACATGAATACTCCAGGTACATACTCATTTTGATAATCACTCATTTTGAAAAAATTTATTTTTATTTATTAATGATATTTTATATAGTGTATAAAAAATTTAATATGGATTCTCGTCCTCTAGTTTATGTGAAATTCAGTACAAATATTTTCATAATTAAGTCTAAGGTCAACCAGTAAAGAAAGAAGACCACAGTCAGAGGTAGGGTGTTAAACCCGTTTCATGACATGAGTAGTAATATTATTGTAGTTGATATAATCAAATAGAATTTGCTCCATTGGTTAACACTCTTAATGATATTATTTGAGACTGAAAGGTTATAGGTTCACGTCTTAGTGATGATTAATATCTCTTTATTATTTTCAACTTTGTGTAACATATTTATATGGGAAAACTAAAATGATAAAAGATTACATGGAAAATTGTGGAGTTCCGTGAATTCTATGTAGCGAAATTTTGCTCTAAAACGGCCATAATATAAGTTCTAAATAGATAGAAGATAGATAGATAAGGACTAAAACTACTAATTTAAATAACCAAAATAAAGGATAAATTACACGATTGGTCACTCGAATTATATATATCTCATGTTTGCCACCCCATTACTTTTCTTTCTTATTAGCCACTAACTTTACGATTTGTTTCACCGTTAGTCACCGACCGTCAATCTCCGTTAACACCGTTAAATTCTTGATGACGTGGCAAACAGAACTGTTGATTGTACCGTTAACTTAGTGACCTGTCAATTTAAAAAATAAAAAATATATTACACCTCATTTTCTACTACAATATAATATATATAAAAATTAAAATATACTTCGGCGGCGGCAGAAACCCTGCGGCAATCTTCCTCAACTTCCCGCTCCCGTGGAGCCCCCGTCGATGAGGACCAACGGCAGCTTTACCTTCCCGACGGTTCCCATAATCTAATTAGTCGCCATCATTCACCAATGAAGAGTAATGAGAACAAGCAGAGTAATAAGGAAACATTAGTTTCCATCGTTCACCAAATATCAGGAATTCGATTACGAAACCTAAAACTTGTAGCTGATGAAGACAAATGAGAACAAAGGGGGGAATTTGACCTAATTCCTTACGGGAGTGCCCTTCTCCCTCCAATTGAAACCCTCAGGCAAGTTGCTTGTCGGGAGGATCGGCTCCGTGTTGGCATCGCTGGGGAGCCCGAGCTTCCTGAGTCCCAACAACTACCTCTTGAACTCGCGAGGGGTCAAATCGGAGAACCGAGTGACTCAGTGAGAAGCGCTGGGTCAATCTGCCGAACTTCTTCTTGAAGAGGGAGAAGTGGTGCTCCAGCGCTAAGAGGAGGTTGTCGGCGGTGGTGACGGCGACGTTGGGGAGGGAGGAGAATCGCTGTTCGCCGGGGATAGTCGTCGTCGCAGGTTGCTGCCGCCGCCGTATGTTTTTAAATATATATATTATTTTAGTAGAAAATGAGGTGTAATATATTTTTTTATTTTTTAAATTGACAGGTCACTAACTTAACGGTCCATTCCGTTTGCCACGTCATCAAGAATTTAACGGTGCTAACGGAGACTGACAGTCGGTGACCAACAGTGAAACAAATCGTAAAGTTAGTGGTTAATAAGAAAAAAAAGTAATTCGAGTGGCAAACCTGAAAGATTTATATAATTCGAGTGATCAATCGTGTAATTAGCCCAAAATAAATAATAAAACAAAAACTCCAAAACAATGTGCAGCTACAAGCTTCCGGTTTTCCATTTCCGCTGCGGAAAACATGTGTCCTTTGTCTCCTTTTCTTTAGCGTAATTGAACTCTATTCCACAACTTAACCAAGGTCACCAACTTCACGTCCAGATTCCAGAATAATTATCATCAATTAAGGCCTTTTGTCTTTACGTTGGACTTCTTTAATTGATGGATTTCTTTGAAATTAATCCACCACCAACGTTGCCATGCTGAAACACGTCTCTCTATTGTTTGCCCACTTTTATCCCTGCAAGGCCACATGTGGTGGGTGGGATCAGATAGCATGCCTAGTCTTAAAAGGTTGGATTAAAAAGTTGGATTAATGACACTTCCTATTAATTATAAATTTTTAAGGTAATTAATTTTTGTTGCATTTATTAATTTATATGAATTAAAAATACATATGAATTAATTTTTTTTTCAGTGCACTGGTAGTTGTATCAGTGCAATGGTAGTTCCAAAAAAAGGAACGTAATTAATATGAGTTCAGTATGCAGGTGCAATGGTAGTTGTATTAGTGCAATGGTAGTTAAAAAAAGGAACGTAATTAAGATGAGTTTTTAATTTCCAAAGATTATTAAATGCAACACGAATTTAATACAAAAAATAACTATAATTAATAGGGGTGTCATTTTTCCAACCCTTAGAAGGGTTAACATGCTAACCGATCCCACGTGTGGTAAGCAGCAGCCATGAGAAATGTTTCAAGCGCCATTTATCCATTACGAATGCTCCTAATTGATTCTTATATCTCTTTATTCGAATCTTCATTTTTGGACCACGAGAACTATATATATTGGCATTCAATTTCACATGAATAAACTCGTAGGTCTTGCTGGTAGAGGCCATTTTCATTTTTCACCCATCTTAATTTCTCCTAAGCTCTCTTTGAACCTCTTAATTTGTCTCTTCGCCCATGGTCCACGTAGAGATATAATTTGAGCCTGAATAATGTCATGAAGGGTGAGCGGGGTCTCTTCACTAACTACCCCATTTTGGCCAAGTATAACTCAAAATGGCATTGCTAGTATAGTGTTTACCACGGTCGCATTCCACGGATTTTTTATCCTCTAAGTTACTTCTCCCTTTGTTGTTATCTAGTCAACCATTTAGGATTTGGGCTGGAGGTTGCTTGGAAGATACTACTGGAAAAAGTTAGATAAAAGCAAGGTACTTCGGGGTGCTACCCTTCTCCTGAACTAGGTTCATCATGCAAATGGCTAACTATGTCGGGTTTGTAGGATAAGATGTTGAACTCTCTAATCTATGGATTTTGACAACTACTCTCTCTCCTCCTAACACGGCCCACAAAGACCCAAAGTCATCTTAGTCTAAGTTTACGTGCTAGGTTTGCTCATATAGTTCCTCTTAATAGGTTCAACTTATCATGCAAACTAGAGATGTGCTTCGATTAGAACGCATGTGACTTCTCTACGGTTGTTTTAGGAAGGCATTCTTATAGGAGGGGTTCAGTCGCCACATCCACTAAGGAATTCTGAAACCATTCATCTATCCTTAATCTGCCAGTTGGCGCTAACTAGTCTAACCCTAAAACTCCCACCTAGTGTTAACTCATTTGTAGGCTAGTAGGGAAGAGTTGGGCGACTTACCCAAGCATAACAAAGCAAAAATGAAGCATACATTCAATAAACACAAACATATCCATTCACAAACCCTAACATAATTACATCTACATTCAAAACGTAAACTAGGGTTTGTGGGGTTGAACCCCTAGTACCTTAGAGAATTACTCCATAAAGGGGGAAGAAGATACATGGAAGAAAATAAAAGAAGCCTTGATGTGGGAGAGCTCCCTTCCTTCTCCTTCTCCTCCTCATTCTCATATTCTCCTTCCTTCAGCTTCTCTCTCTAACTTTCCCTTTCTTCAAACCAGAAATATTCTATCAATTTCAGCTTTCAAAGTAGGGGGAGGAACCCCCTATTTATAGATTTCCAGAATTCGGACAATTTCATGATCATGATGGGGGAGTTCGCGATCGTGATCTTGAGCTTGTCGTTTTGTGTTTTAAAGTTGGTAAGTTCGCGGCCCGAGTTCACAGTCGTGATCCGTTACTCGCAGGCGCGATCTTTCTCGTGGGCTCGGATGAAGATGGTCGTGAGTCGACTATCAAGACTTTCTGCTCCTTCCTTGTTGGCTTCTCCAAAAGTTCGTGCCTAGGACCTCCATCTTCCCGATCGTGATCTTTGCACTCAAGGCTACGATCTCAGTCCTCAGCTTTGCGCCCTCTATTCCCCACTGTGATCTTTCATCCACTGGCCGTGATCTCGGAATTTCTACCGTTTCTCTACACTTGTCCACATTTTTGTACCTAAAACATTCATACAATCCAATACACCCTAATATACTAATAATTTCTCAAAGGAACGAATACTGGGTATATTTGGTGATATATTGACCATGAAGAACACAAAATGACTCAAAACAAGGCTAAATATGGGTTCTAATAACACTAATTTGAGTATTATCAGTAGCACTTCTTGATATTGGTCTTTTCCTGGGTAAAAGCAACATTTTTCTCCTAATCTTTCTTCTTAAATAACATTTGCATCTCTGCACGAGTATTTGATTTGATCTTTCCAGCTCGACATCTGTGATAACTTGAAGAGTGGATGCAAATGTTGTTTTGTTCATTTTTTTCTTCTTCGCACGCCTTGCCAACTCCTCCTTTTTCCCATTGACCGCATTGATATTGTCGCACATATGCGTTATGGATGATACATCATGTGGGTTCTCTCTCGGAATTAGAGCAGGCTTACAATTGCATTTGTAAGCTAACAAGATAAGTTGCAAAATAAATCAAGTCAAAAGTGGAAAACGAGCAAAGGGGACAAAATGAATGACATACTTGTGTATTGATATGTACCCCCTTTAGACTAACAATTTGTATCCATCATCTGAAATGAGCGTTCAAACGCACTGCCAACAACATAGGTAAGATGGAGTGTAGCGGCAGTGCCAATTGTCGCTATAAGAGATAACTTTTTGGGCTAATACCACTACAACACCTGAATTATCGACAAAATGCCACTTGTGTCCTATTCTTTTCAATATTCCATTTCTGTCTTGAACTATTATTCCGTTAGTGTTGACAGGTGTTGACCGTTAGTATTTAACAGAAAAACAAGTTAGCATCTGACGTGTTATTTTTATATACTTAAATAACAACTAAAAAAATTAAAAAACCAAAAAAATCCTTCCTAATCGCCCCGAATCCCCCTCCATGACTTCCTACTGCAATCTTCTCCCGAATCTCCCCGGATCCCCACAATCTTCTCCCCAACAACTAAAAAATGCCGCAATCTTCTCCCCTCCGACGAGCCAGTAGCCTGGCGGCACCATCGCTCCTTCCTTTCTTCTTTAACACAGCCGACACGAACGTAGCAAGCTGAAGGGGTTTCGAGGATCTGATGGCGGCGCCAACGATTTGAGGTGGAGGCTGCTACTCTGGCTTCTGGGAAGTCAGACCCTTTGTTGAATCGAAGGAGAGAAGGGCGAGGGTCGTCGGTGGCTGGTGGGGGTTCACAGGGATTTGAGCAGCAACAGTTGATTTTGGTGTGGGATTCCATCCGCCCAATGATTTTGGGGCTCACTTGAACGAACCTGTTCTCCCCTCTCATCGATTTTGGCGTGGGATTCCATCCGCGCGACAATAATAGAGACGCCCAGAAGAGGATACAGAGAGATGATGGCGATGACGTGAATCGGCAACAACAACTATGAAACCGGATCTTTTTTATTTTTCTTCGGATCCGTCGTAGCTTCTTTTGTCAGAAAGACTGTCCGATAACGGAGAAGGATTCTATTTGCACCCGTCACCGATGCCGATGCTAAGAGAATCGGAGCCCAGAAGTGCAAATCGGAAGTTGCGTCCATCAGGGAGGAGTACGGACGACGGAGATGGGGTATTGAGCTTGACGAAAAACCAGAGCCCAGGACCATGGAGTGGAGAAGACGACGAGATAGAGGGAGATAGAATTTTTTAATTTTGATTTCTTTTCCTTTGAATTTTAGATTTTTTATAATATTTTTTAGTAATATTCTTGAATTTAATTTTTAATTTTTTTTATAATATTGTTTAGTAATATCCTTTAGTAACATACGAAAGGACAAATATGGAATATAGAAAAGAATAAGACACAAGTGGCATTTTATCGATAGTTCGGGTGTTGTAGTGGTATTAGCACTAAGTTTTTTATTGGAGGTGTTATTCAAATCAGGGTGGCCCTAGCATTTTAGAGGCCAAGTTTAATAAACTATATGCGGGCATTGAAATTTCATAGGCCCATGTAAATTATATAAATATTTTTATGCAGAAGCCAAAACTAAACCTACTAGTTCATTAATCTTATGGGTCGAGGCCCCAAATTTTGTGAGGTGCCATATTTGATTTTTAGAAGCCCAAAACTAAACTTATAGTTCACAATAGTATGACGGGCTGAGGCCTTGTGCCATTGGACCCGATGGTACAAGTCCAAGGACAATCCTGATAGGAGTTCTCACGCGTCTTCACTAACTAAAATTCGTGTAACACAAATGACGCTAACACCAATAGTTTAATAGTACTATAATTATTGAAGTTATGTAATGTAAATGATAATTTCACCAAGGTTTAGTATCTTTAGTGGTATTAACCCAATTTCAATTTAGAAATTCAAAATTTTGGCGAGTCGGGAGGCAGACGTAGAGGCGCGCCATATTATCCTCCATCAGTATGAATCAATGGGAGAACACTAAAATATGCATTAGCACTACTCACGATGGCATAGAGGAACTTAAGACATAACTATAATGACACTAGAAGTCTGTGTCACACAAGGCACCAGGGGGACAAAAATGGATATTTGGAGGAACGATGATGATAGAGGCATATTCGACATGGACGCTTAACATCAAGTCAGGTGCTCACTCACTAGACAATCGATTATAAAAGTGTCATGTGCATTGACCATGAGACGCATGATCACAAGCGCTTCAATAGGGAGTAAATTACTCGTGTAGAGGAACCTCTAATGTGGTGCATCCCGGTGCTTAGAAGCGAAGTCATTGGACAAACTAAAAAGTGTGCAGAGGCACCAAAAGCGGTAGTAAGGTGCTCTGGTCTGCATTTAAGGGCCTAACTAGAGGTCAATTGTTGGTTCCATCACGAGGCAATCAAAGTTACTTGTCCCAATGTAGAAAAAGATCCATGATGTTCAACCAGTCATTCGGGTGGAAAGCAATGAAAGGTCCAGAAGTCAGCTAACCGACGCATAAGTATGTGACCCACGCACGATATAGACAAGTGAATAATATGAGTGTCAGCTGTAAGTATACGTCATGCGCCTATTACTTGTCAGCCACTTACGCTGTTGAGGTGCACGATTGGTGGGGAGTATGGAGTAGTGATAAATACCGACGAAATAGTAGGGAAACTATGAAAAGACTCTCAACTATAAATAGTAGGGACACTATCGAAATAGTAGCGAACTTTGATTTCGAAATTGGTGTATTACAAGAATTAGTATAAATAAAGGCAAAATACACGTTCATAGCCACAACTATCACATTTGTGACAAATATAGCCACAACTATCAAAAAACATAAAACAGACCAAAATTGGATGGTAGTGTGAAAAATATAGTCATTTTCATTAAAAACTTTAACGGTGTTAGAGATGTCATAAGTTCTGTTAGCGATACGCTGACTAGGATGCCAAATTAGTGCACACGTCATCGACAAATCAGCATCAACTGACACGTTGATTACATATATAATAGGAATAAAAAAAGATTATATATACTATTTACTTAAAAATATTTAATCATGAAAAAAAGAAAGCAACGCCATTGGACTGGGTAGGAGGATTTGCGATCCTCCGCTGCGGTCGATGGAGCATTTGCGGCTGGTCTATCGTAGGCGGCGAGGCCAGTGATTTGCCTTCCCCCATCTGTTATAAACACGTTGCTACGGATCGGGAGATCGCCGAAATCGATAAAGCAAGAATACGAAAGCGAGAATCGAAAAACACAAACACACGATTTACATGGTTCACTAGCACGATGTGTGTTAGCTAGTTCACGGGCGAGAGAGAGCTAGTTTCACTATATCGAGGAGATTACAGATTACAGAGGAGTATGAGAAGTATTTATAGTACTTCTCCATGTGTCTAAACATAATCCAATCTGGCAAAGGAAACGGTTACAGACCACCCCCGACTACCAGTCGTAGCGGCTGATAGTCCGATTCAAGTCACATCAACACCATCCTTCCTCTCATCTTTGTCGAGGGGAGGCAGATTGAGGGAGCATGATGGACCAGGTAGCAGTGATAGGAAAATGCGGTGGTTACGTGGTGTGGAGAGATTTTTTTGTGATTTTTTATTTAACTTAATTAAATAAAGAGAGATCTAGAAGTACAGTTATCGCCAACTCATCATTTTCTGTCAATCCAGTCGTACTGTTAAGTAACATCGTTAAAAGAATGGACGGGAGTGACTATTTTGTGTTTTTCGGAAATTATGACAATATTTGTTACAAATGTGAAAGTTGTGGGTATGAAAGTGTATTTTGCCTTAAGATTATGTGCATACTAAGAATGTGTGAAAATACTTTATTTAGAAAACATAAAATAATGCATAGATTATAAATGAAATGAACTATGGATACTAAATCACACTAAGAAGGTGAGATTAATTATACATAATTTTCTATGCATTCTGTAATTAAAACGAGTAAAAAAATGTTGCATCCTGCATTTAGAATTGAAAGAAAGAAACCCACCGCAGATCCTGGTACTGTACACGCAGACACCTTTTACTGTCCATTGTGACTGAGATTTACTGTTTCAAACTGGCGTGAGCTGGCGTGTGGGCTGTTGTTGGTTGAGGCCTCATTGGGATCTGACGGCAGTTTGGGGGCTCGGTCGGGGTGGGACTGGTCGTTAGCTTCTGGTTGGCCTTAGTTGGGGTCGTTTGGTGGCCTGGACGCGCGTTGGTCATCAGAGATCGGTATGTGACTTTGCCCCTAGCGGGTGCGCCGTTCGAGGCTTAATCAGTTGCTCTGGGTGTTCTGCTCAGTGGAGAGATGAGTCGTTCGAGAGACAGAAAATTATTCTTCAGATACACAGAGAGATATTGAGAGGGATGGGCTCGCGTTGTTCGATGCAGAGAGAGGCTTAGAGAGGCTGGAGGGTTTTGGGGAAAGTACTGAAATGACTGAGCTATGCAGGACACAGAGAGATATTGATTAAGCCTTTTCTGTTCTGCCCACTCCGTTGTTCTCTCTGCTGCTCGGCCTGCGTTCTTTGGGAGATCGCGCCGGCCTCAAGTGTCTGACAAATTTTGCTCCTCTCTCTCTGATCTTTCACTTCGCCGCTCTCTCTTTTACTTGACTGCGGGGCTTGGGGTTGTGATGCAGGTCGATTTGATTGCTCTGCACCCTCGCCCTGTCACTTGATGTGGTACTCGGAGGTCTCAAGTGGATTGTTGTTTTCTCGATGGCCCAAGAAAAGAGGGCGTAAGAGGTTTAGGAGGTGTGTTGATGTGGTATTCGGCTTTCGAGGTGTTTCTCGAAGACTTCGATCCTTCACAGAGAAGTGCTCTTTTTCTACAATTTTCCCTCACCACACAATCAGTCGAGAGGGTAAGAGACAGATCTGTGCCTTCTTTCTTATTTCACTGCACATTCTCTTCCTTCTCTCCTATTCCTACTTTGCTCATCAGTCTCTCATTTCTCTTTCTTTGTGTTTTGCAGAGATGCTGGCGATTGGAATCAAGTATCTTTGGAGTCTCTGGTGCTTGGGAGGCGTGGATGCATGATGCATCTCTTCCTCTTCTCTCTCTATCTCGATTCCATGGTCGTTGCCGGTAGCCAGTGAATCGCCGGGAACCTGGTTACGAGAATCCTACTCTCCGGTGATGAATCTCTTCTCTCTCTCTGTCTCCGTTGGTTTTATACGAGAAGCTAAAATATGTTTTTCCTCTCATATCTGCTCTCTTTCTCTTCTGAAATTTTCTCTCCCTTCCCTTATTCTGCTTCTCCCTCATATCTTCTACCTGCCGTTGCGAGCAGGCGTCGACGAACTGCCGAGAATCCCTGTAGTGGCTAGCCAATCGACCTGGTGTGTTTTTGTTTTGAGAGACGCTGGTAAATCATCTGCACCTTTATCTGGCGAGCGACCAGTGAGGAACTCTCAGTTGAAGTCGAGGAAATTATCGGATCACTTGGTGAGCTCTTGATCTCTAGACTTTCGTTTCGTTTTTTTTCCCCATCAGTGGCCGCTATCGTTTAGTTCCCTGTTGTTTGTTTCAATTTGGAGATTTACCATTTTGATTGATCCAAAGCCTGTAGGGGTTGGTGGGATCTGGAGATGTGTTTGCTAGGTTTTTCACTATGGGTCGATGTTGGAACGATAGCACTCTGATTCCCTTCTTTGACATTTTTCTCCCCGTCTCACTTCCGGCCCAACGATTTCTAGCGATCCACTCGGTTCATGGTGAGTTTTGATTTCGTTGGTTTATTTCCTCCTTCTCGGGTTGTTATTCTCTCTCTTCCATGGACTTGATATGAGGTCTTCGTGGTTGATTTGCCATCGCACTTTCAGATATGTTGTTGGGCGCACAATCTTAATTGATGAGAGCAGAAAATACTTATGTAACCTAACGTTATAAGGTTAGAATTTGGTGGTTTTGCTTTATTGCTCTCTTCTGTCATGTTTGGATTTCTTATACAGTTTAGTTTGTAATTGGTTTTTGTCTCTGGTAGAGTTTTGACGTTTTGGGTGGCCGGCGGTTTTGTTGAATCCCAGGCGGAGGACTGCTTGGATTTGAAGAGCAGTCGAATCACATTTTCTGTGGTTTAAGGCTGTCGTTCCACAATGGGGAATAGCCATAGAGGAAGATGACTGGATCCACGACTGAAGGGAATCAGTGGACAAATTCCCTCGACAACTCTCTCTTTCAGTTCCTCTGCCCCCCCCAGTTATTTATCCCAATTTTCTCGTTTATGATCAATTGCTAATGCTTGCTGCTTTTCAACATGATTATGTAGTGAAGAGTATATCTCCTATCTGAACTTTGAATCATGAGAATGACTAACTGGAGCTGACGCATTTGTGTACGAACTGATCTCTCTCATTCAGATCATTGTTGCACTGACGGGAGAAAATTTCACTTGGCGTCAATGTGCTGTCATGGGATGATTGTGGGAGTTATGATGTAAAGGACCAACTAGAAAAAAAAATGGCGTGGAGGGTCACAAGTAGTGTTTTCAAGTAAGCCTTGAATCTTTTACCTTAGGACAAGGTATTTGGTTTTGTTTCAAATTGTTCTATAGGGGACATGTCACAACTTAAAAATAAGATAGAGTGAAGGTGAGAAGCCACAGTTTTTGTGTCTTAAAGTGGTCTTCTGTTTATTAGTTTGTACTATCTAGGTGATGCAAGTGATTACCTGTGCTTTACGTTAACATCCAGGATGTCTAATGGTAATGGTTCCATCTAGACTTTTCTTTGCTTCTTCTACTCAATGTGGTGGATCTAAGTGGGCAGTGTTACTTCAAACATGGCGTTGGGACCATACTCTATACACAATTGTTTGAATCATAGAATCATCAAAACAGCTCAATAATCCTTCAAAATGGGATACAGAATGCCATAATTTCTCACGTGCTTTATTTTCAGATTTCTTCATTATTTCCTACTTTTTCTCAACTATGTCCTGTATACCTAATGCTTTGGTAAATGATGACTAATGTAGGTGAGTTTACTTTTCCTTTGCAAAGCTATTACTCTGCTCGATGAAGGATTCAAATGTAAGCCACGGTTGCTGCTAGGTTGTTGTTGTGAGGCGTTGGCTTCCATGCTGCAGTCCTGTTCTCAATTAAGGAGTCTACCGGCAGCAGTGTTGTGAAGCATAGTCCTTGTGAAACCCAAGTTCAACAGTGCTCAGTCCATTTGTGGTGGTTTTGTGATAAATTTGTCCTTGAGATCCATTAATGATACTTTTGTTCTCTATTAAGCACTATATACTACTTCTAGATCGTAATGCGTACTGATATATTTGTTGTCTTTTGTGAAGATGATGTGATTGTCTCATACATATTGGTGCTCAAGTATGTTTTGTGATGCAGTGTTATACAAGTGTATTATAACCTAGGTTTTACATTTTCCTTATATATATTGTTGGTTTCTAAATATTTTTATGGAAAAATATGAGTTAATTTTATTGGGTGCAATAATTATGGTGTTATTTTGTGTATGTTGCACGCTGTGTATGCTTCCTGCAAGTTAATGCTATCTATAGATTGACTTGACAATGTGCTTGACCAAATTAGTTCTTTTGCCTATTTGTGTATGTCGATGATTATATTGGTTCTATTGCTCAAATCTCATTTTTTGAAAAAATTGCAAGTTACTTATAGTTGATTAGTGTTTTAGATTCCCAACATAATATGATATATAAAATGCAAACTGAGTTGTTCCAATCTTTGTTTACCTCCGAATATGTACTGAAAAATGAAAATTAATGCCTCTTATTTTAAAGATCTCCTTTTCATAGCACCACGACAATTGGTGTCCAAAATAAAACACATCCCGCGGCAGAGCGTGGGCTCATTCCTAGTACATATAGAATCAGAGATTTCAAATGAGTCTCCCTCTCTAATGGTTGTGGGCTTGTGGCTAACGGTATCCGTCTGGATCGGATCCGCATGAACACAATTGGCTGGGTGAACGCTATGCTCGGGCCCACTGTGTTGTCCTCTTTTCTTTTCTTTATTTATTTTTTTCTTTCTCTCCTTCTTCTAGACCGGATCTCGTGCCTTATCTTATTCTAAAACATTTCACATCCATCTACTACCAGTGTCTCAAGATGTGGAGACGCCGGAACTGAAATTTCAAATCCACCCGCTGACCAATTTCGGATTTTAATCGCCTGACCCTGATACAATTGACCGATTCAATTGAAATTGAAGTTGAAGAAGCTGTTTAGGGATTTCTGGGATTTCTTTCACCTTCTGCTCTCACGATGTCTGCCATTGTCTGTGGTGGAGGATTAGGAGGAGCAGTTAGCTCTGTCAGTCCTTCTTTCTCGGCTCTCTCCCCGTCTTTCCCTCCGACGAGAATCTCTGCTTCACCTAAGCCTCCTTGCGTCATCCGCTGTGCGGTTCAAGGTACCTTTCACCCCTTCTTATCTTCATCCTCATCGGATGACCAATGCTATTCCAGGTTTAGTAGCGAACATATTCTAGTTTAAACTCAATTGGCAAAGACTGGTAATGGTAGGGTTATGGAAGAAAGCGAATGCCTATGTACACAGCCTGTTGGCGTTATGAGGCTTTTCTCTTCATTTTCTTGTTCTAATTGCATTGCTGGTTAAACTTCTCGTTCAGGAACTGTAGCAGAACCAAAAGCTGTCTCGGCTACTGAACCCCTTCTGCTAAATGCGGTCAGAGGACTGGATGTTGAGAGACCCCCAGTTTGGCTTATGCGGCAGGCTGGGCGGTATATGAAGGCAGGTCTATGCAGCTTCATTTCTGTCCTTTGAACATTTTATCTTGCGATTACTAGTTTCTAGCATCAAGCTGCTGACAGTCTGCTTTGATGACTCTTTCTTTGTCCTGTTATTATTGTTTTTCTGGTATGTAGATTTTAAACATTGTCATGGGTCTCACTCGCCTGTCCATTTCTTTCTTTGTGCGCAGAGTTACCAAATGATATGTGAGAAGCATCCTTCTTTCCGCGAAAGATCAGAAAATGTTGATCTTGTAGTTGAAATCTCACTCCAACCCTGGAAAGTTTTTAAGCCTGATGGGGTAAGATGACTTGCAGTCCATGTTCTGGTTATCTAGTCAAGAAGTTTATGAGTTATAACAAGATCGTTTGATGTCTTCCCCTACTTGAAATTTAGCTATCTTGACTTGAACCACCCCATCAACGAGACTTATCTCAGTTCTCCATATTTCCTTTCTGTTGTTGATTTGGCAGGTTATTTTATTTTCTGATATCTTGACTCCGCTTTCTGGCATGAACATACCTTTCGACATTGTAAAAGGAAAGGGTCCTGTTATCTTCAACCCCTTACGAACATCTGCTGATGTCGATCTCGTGAGAGAGTTTGTCCCTGATGAGTCGGTTCCGTATGTTGGGGAAGCATTGACAATCTTGAGGAAAGAGGTACCAACTTATTTATCTTTCCTTTTCCTTTTTACATGTCAGAACCACTGTCATCCTGATGATACTTTACTAGTTCAGTTCACTGACAAAGAGGCCATCAGGCAGCAGCCTTTTTAACTGTTTTTTTTCTTATTTAAACCTTCGCAGGTTGATAACCAAGCCGCTGTGCTTGGTTTTGTTGGTGCTCCTTTTACCCTTGCATCTTACGTTGTTGAAGGCGGTTCATCAAAACACTTCAGCAAAATAAAACGGTTGGCTTTCTCTCACCCCAAGGTAATTTATGCTAGCATTTCAATCGAGAGAGTTCTTTCGAATGTAAAGCTTCAGCACAGTCCAAATTTTGTTTTTATTTTTCCTTTACTTATCTAAGCTCGCTCTGTAGGTTCTCCATGCATTGCTTCAGAAATTTACAACTTCCATGGCTAAGTACATTCAATATCAAGCTGACAATGGAGCTCAGGCTGTTCAAATCTTCGACTCATGGGCCACCGAACTCAGTCCAGTTGATTTCGAGGAGTTCAGTCTCCCATACTTGAAGCAGATAGTTGACACTGTAAAACAAACCCACCCAAACCTTCCTCTAATCCTTTATGCCAGCGGATCCGGAGGCTTGCTCGAGAGGCTAGCTCTGACCGGAGTGGACGTGGTTAGCTTGGATTGGACGGTGGACATGGCGGAAGGCAGGCGACGATTGGGGAAAGATGTAGCAGTCCAAGGAAACGTGGATCCAGGTGTTCTTTTCGGTTCGAAAGAGTTCATCACCAACCGGATCAACGATGTAGTGAGGAAGGCTGGCAAGGGGAAACATATATTGAACCTGGGGCATGGGATTGTAGTAGGAACACCAGAGGAGAACGTTGCTCATTTTTTTGAGGTCGCCAAAGGACTCAGATACTAGGACAACTGTACAAGATATGGCATTTTGTCACATCAAAATTTGGTGTTTTTAGTGCGCATCAACGAGGGATTAGGTCCGTTTGGTTCTGTAAGACGGCCACGAAGCTACTTTTGTTCCTTCCATGCACTTCGTCTTCCTCTGCATCCGTATATGTGAACACCCATAATTATCTCATGGAGGTATGTTCCACCAAAACCACTATACAATTTTTCTTTTATGAAGGCGTTTTTAATGTTAAGTGCTATTTCAAGAATTCAAACTTAAAACATTAAAATTGAAAATGGATAATAGTATTACTATACAATTATTACTCCCGACAAAATTTGAATCCTACAAAACAAGTATAATTTCATCTATGATAGAACGCCAGAAATTGAGTCCAAAATAGTCCCCATTGGAAACAAATTAGTTTCGAGACGACTAAGTTCTATAAACAGGGGAAACGAGATTTTGATCAACCTAGACTCTCTTGGGGAGCCTCCTAATCCTCTTAGGCACACGTGAAGAATTCCTTTTCCTAATCACTGTTCTTGTTTGGCAAGATAACAAGCCTAAATTGAAGTAACGGTACATCTAAAGATCCGTGGATTCCTTAATTATATTACTTTATGATGACACATAAAAGTACCTAAACCATCGTATTGTGGCCAAAAGTGCATACATTTCTCATCATTTTTGTCATAATGCATTGGATTATTGTTGTGATTGCTTCAAGTGCGTTCTAGCAACCCAAGGATTGCTTTTATACATTTGATGCGCTTTTGATAGCGTTTTGTGCATTTTCAAGACCAAGCATTCTAGTGGACCACTTGGATGTCGTAGGGGACATGAAGCCCAAGTCGCTGGAGCCTAGAATTGAAGACCAAACGTCATTGAAGAGAGGGCGGCCACGACGCTGTTTTGACAAGGAGAAAGTGCGGCCACAACACCTTATTTATTGACGACACCCCTCTTCGACAATCTTGGGTCTGCCATGCCATTAACTCCGTCAGTCAATTGATTAAGTGGCTAACAGAAGTGTTGACTGACCCTTTTTTAACCCGCCAAATCACCAAACCCGACCCACCACATTGCTCAACCGCTATGTCATCTTTCCCTACCCAATCCTTTAACCCAACCAACCTATGAATCGACCCCTCTATCCCTCTCTCCTCTTCGCCTCTCCCTTTCTCCTCTTCATAGTAGAATGTAAATGTCGAGCAACCGAGTAATTAAATGGAGACCTGAGTCCGAAGTCTGAAAATGCCGAAAAATCATTATGCGCTCCAAATGACGCAAAAACGAATTTTGGAGAACTGAGTTAGGGGTTGTTTGGTTTCACTGTTTTGAGTTTGTTAGATTTTGGGACGACTGTCATAGAGGAGAGAGAGGCATAATAGAGAGAGGAACAGGCGAAGAGGAGAGAGAGGGATAGAGGGTCGGTTCATAGGTTGGTTGTGTTTAATTATTGGGTTGGAAAAGAAGGCATGGCGGGTTAAGTTTGGTGATGTGGCGAGTTAAAAAAGGGTGAATCGGCATTTTTGTTAGCCACTTAAGCAATTGACTGACGGTGTTAACGGAGACTAACGGAGAGTGACTAAACGTGTATCATTTTATTAATTTGAGTGACCAACATTGATATTAATTTTTTTTAGTGACTAAACATGACACATTTTAATAAACTCAGTGACCAAACGTGACATTTATGCTAAGACAAAATCATAAAAAGGGGGTTAACTTCACATAGAATCAAATGTTTCAGGTGTCATAATTATAGACACAAAATAAACGAATGTTACATTCGTATAAACAATTGGTTCTATCACAGTACAGAACATCATAACAATCAATGTAATTTTGATATTACAAGGCAATAAATAAAGTTAAACAACAATGGGTCTAAATAAAATGACAGTCATTTTTGTAACAATGCGCCTATTCAATAACCGCTCTTTCTCCTTAGTTCAAATGAATTTTTTTTTTATACTGAAGTTCCAATTTCATACTCTGTTTTGGCTCTTCATATTTCCATTCTCCTATTGTAATTGTTTAATAATTTCAATGAAGAAATGATCGTGATTAATTATAAGTTATTCCTGAAATAAAATATTAATTTGTATAAAAACAGAGTACCCAACCAATCATCTAGTTGATAATAAAAAATAAAGATAAACTCACTAATAGGAATCTGACATGTAGCTTGGTTGGAGCTTGTGCGTCCAACCAAGGTTGGAGCTAAAAATTTTCCAATTGATTGATAGTGAAAAAAAGGAAGAGAATAAGGCATATAACACCTTAGACAAATTCAACATCGACAAATTAAGAAAGACATCCATAATTTATAAGTAATAGACTGACATTAATTGACAATATGCATTTTTAGATGAAATGAAATTTTTTTATAAGAATTCTAAAGTTATACGTGTTTACTGTGAACGCGAAGCACGTGAAAAATGAATTTGTCGGCTTCTTTGTTAGTTACTACTTCATCCCCGTAGGTGTTTGCCCTATGCATGGGACATCTGAACTAGGGATGGCAACAAAACCCAAACTCACGGGTACCCACCCGACCCAACCCGGTCAACGCGGGTAAAACCCGTGTTGACGGACTTTGGGCCGGGTATGGGTTTAAAACCGTTCACTATTCACCAGGTTGGGATGGGTTGGGTTTGGGTTTAGGTAAACCCGTCCCATGGGTACCCGCCCACACCTATATAATTAACTAGCCTATTACCCGGCCCGTTGGCCGGATTACTGTTTGTTACCCACTTGTGGAATAGGAGAGAAAGCAAGTGAGAGTGAAGGGATTGGGATTCCACTTGATTAGGACCGACCCACTAATCCGATTCTTCCCGACCCGCCCCAACCTAAAGGGTCAGAAAGAGTCAATAAGAAAATACGAACGGAGAGGATTAGTCATATTCATATATCTTGACTCTTCAGAAGTGGGTCAAACAGGATCAAGGTTGGGTGAGGGAAATTTTTAGCGCTAAGCAGAGTTCTGGGTTGAATAACTTTACTTAGGCCTAGAAATTGGTGTTGATGCAGACTGCAGTTTTTATTATACCATCATCAATCATCATTGAATTAGTCCTGGGCATCCCTCCCCGTTGTCGGTATGAATTCTAATGATGGCTCCGTTCCTTGCACCAGCCTTATCAGCGAGTTGTCATCTCGAGCATGATTTGCCTATGTACAAATGATACAATTAGAGTATGAAACTGAATTCAAAGAAAAGGAAAAGAGATTTCTATCACATGTCAATAAATACACACATAATAGTTAAAGTTAAGTGAAAGTCATTACTCGCACATCAATTCTCAAAAATTACAGACTAAACAATGGCTAGAATGGCACTGAAACTACCAAGAATCATGGACGAAACAACTTGTCAAATTAAATAATCCTTATACTGAAACTACCTTCTAACTTGAAATAAGACATGATCACAGTTCATAGCTCTCTTCTCACTATGAGTTGGTTGCAGCTCGTCCTTATCACTGCCTCCCAAGCTCAATTCAAACAGAATAGAGACCGTTATGTAAGATAACCATATCCTTACTGATCATAATTCCTTTCTTCACTCCATTTTTGTCAGAAAAAAGAGTTACCCCCCTCTCCTGCATTTCCCTTTCCCCCTCTCTTCTCCCTCTTCTTCACAAACCGATCCCTAAACCAGCAACAACAACACAAAAATAGCCTTCGCCTCTGCCATCTCCATCTACTGAACGCGTTGGTGGCAAGACAGAACTGCAGAAGCAAAATTTTCTAAAATCAAACTAAATTTTTTGAAGGAGACTCAACCACGAAAAAATAGTAAAGCAACAATGCTAATAGTTCAGATGGTTGGTTTTGATGTTATACATTGCTTTTGTTCTGGTCTCCAGTATATCAACTGCAATAGAGATGTTTCCTCCAATCATCTTTAGTGCACGATTTAGAAGCAAGTCCTCCTGTTTGTGTCAAACGGAAACATTCATGGGTTCTTAACTCCCCTGTTAGTGTAAAAGCAGCAGCAACAAAGAAGTTTGACAACACAGCAAGCACCCAGGCAAAATGATACAATGCAGTAGGTGATATGTGTCTCGAAGGTTTTGAGTTACTAAAGTTCATGTTAAAAATAAACATGAATTAAAATGGATTATTCTATTAAGCAAACATCCCCTCCAATCATACAAAGATCAGATATCCAATTCACAAACAATTAAGCCATAAAAAATCATCACACATCCACCACCTTTGATTGCCTAAATTTGGTTTTTCGCAAAAGTTATGGACTCTTAAGGGAAACGTTCATGGGTAGTCTGTTTCATAACTCTAGAGAGCACAGTAAGCAGCCACCAGCCAGACACAGTGCAGTAGGCGAATATGATTCTCAATTCACAATTTCTCACCACCGGAAGTAAGAACAGACCATAATAAGCATAGCGTTCATGGGTGGTCTGTTTCATAGCACTACTACACAATTTGTTAAAAAAGAAAGAAAGGTATTTAGCACCACGGCGGAACAACTTTTACAGGCTAACAACGACAACATGCTGCAACCACCAGAACTGGTATCACAACTCATAGGGAAAATCAAAAGATTTACTCTCAAATTAAGCAATTACAACATCGAGCAATTGTCAAGCACATACACCATCACAAAAGTCACGGAACTTGATTCACAAAGCATTAAAACATTTGAGGACATTTCTGCAAAGGTACAACTTATATGTCTTTTTTCCAAGCCATTTTTATCAAAATGCTAATAAATTTGCAATGCATAAAACAAACGGGCCAAAACTTGAAATTCAGCCTGTTTGACGACCCATGCCAAATTCTAATTATTCTTTACTTTTAAACTTTCTATTTGAAAATAAAAAATAGTGAAAGAAAAGAGACGACTACAATTCGCCATTTGCACATCACTTATTCGGGAATAAAACCATAAAAATTCAAAAGGAACTGAAAATGTTTAGAATCGTTATAATGTTTAAAATAACCAAATAGATCTTTATGTTTAATTTTTTACTAACAAATACCAAACGATTCCCTATAAAATACACTATAATTTGATCATTATGATATCAAATAATTATAAAATATATATTTGAAATGATAAAAATTGGACTAATTGTGTTGGTCGAGGTTGAACCATTGAATAACTTTAAAATACATTATATTTTAGCCACTAAGATATAAAATAATAGCATAATATATATTATGTCAGAGAAATTAGCTTATTTTAGAATGACAAACCAATGATGTTCATTTATTTTACTTGATGGCCAAATCCCATGTAGGTCAGGCACATTCAACTCTTTTA